AGATTCAGTAATTTGATGTCATGGTTGAGTTTTAATATTTTAGTAGAGTAGCTTTAACTGAAAGTATATATTAAGGGGTTAAGGAATGAGCAGGTTGCAAAAAGTTGAAATAGAGTCATCCGTAAAATATGCCAAAAGGTAAAAGGGAGAAACTAATTTGACCTGTCCAAAGACTCTTAAAGCCCAAACACATTTTTGGGAGGGATGAGCAGGGGCAGACACTGTGACTTGCTGTTTTCAACTTAATCAACAAAATCTAAATATACTTAGCATGTAACAATTCTCATTACAGTGGTAATTTTTCTGCTCTAACCAGGGCCATTCTTTGGAAAGAAGCCTTTACATTTCCACTGGCTGTAGCTGAGGAAGTAAGGATAGATCCTGTAATATGACCTGCTTGGAAGACCTGGACTTCTGTGACTTGCCAAGGCTCAGTGTCAGATATGCTGGCCAATACCCCTTATAAACTCTAAATGACCAGTGGCACTCAGATGTCTCCAAATTATTAACTAATATTTTTCCTTTCAGTTAATGAAGAACTGTCCCAGACTTGTGATCGCCAACATAATCCCAAGGATGGCTCTTCCCTGTACCGGAGAATGAAATGGACGTGACATTGGGGACTTTCCAATAACTAAAGCACAATGAGTTTCTACTGGTCAGCAAGCAATGTTCAACAGTTCAGCTAATAAAATAGGTTGATAAACTAGAACCATAGCAAAATAGAAAGAATACTAAGATACTCGTTCTGAACCTTATTGAAAAGTGGCAGCTATTATCCGAGAGGACTTCTCAGAGACTCAGTAAAACAGCAGCTCTTGAAAAGTACCAAGAGATTTCCTGGGTATATACACTGGACACATTGTAACTTTTTAACTTTTATTGTGACTGTGTCTGCTCTAAAGGGCATATTTAAAAAATAAAATTCTGCAGCACCTTACTACATAATCCCATGGGAACCCGTATTATTCTGATTTTAGAGGTGAAGAAACCTTGGTGGAGATCCAATGAATAGCAAAAGAAGAATGCCTTGGAGAGAGCTCAGTAGATTCTGTATGCAAGAATATTTCCACTTGCTCCTCTTGTAGTTCAGCAGCTCTTAAATGACACTGTTCAGGTATCATTTTTGGACCCGATTTTGCTTCTCTCCTTTTTCTGATTGCTTTTACAAATCCTTATTGTCACAAACATGAACAAAACAAGTGGAGTATCCCCACACTAGGTATGTTTCACCCACAAATGTAGCTTTCAAAATGATGTGACGTGGAAATGTTGGCAATTTGGTAATAGGAAAAGGAAAGAACGGAATGTTCACATAATTCCTGAGGAGGAGAATACAAGTCTTTGCCTGTAATACCAAAATACAGGGAGCTATTTCTAACTATGCAGAGAAGTCAACATTTCACTGCAATTCTTCTTTCAGTGGGAGCCCAAAAGAGACAACATAGTAATTGAAAAGAAACTTAATTCTAGGGGTAGTTAAACTAGATTGTGGTTACTGTTGTGCTCCCCACATTCTTCCAGTTAACATAAATCAAAGATGTTCAATGCATTCTAAGTGTAAGACTGGTTACGTTCCAATCTTTGTGCAGGACACTAACAGGTTGAGTGATCCACTTTATAAAACATAATCAATGTGGTCACCTGTAAGAAATGCCCGTTTCAGTGGTGGCCTACGGTCATACAAAAGGTTGTGTGGATGACCCAAAGCAATAATACACCACCAGTGCTGGATTTTTACTGCTTCTTCCCCTCAGCCCCACTCTAAAATTGTTGATACCCATTCCGTGAGTAGTCTCCATTTGCACTTCTTGCATAATATAAAACTTATTGCTAGAATAAAGACACTCATTTCTGCATTTTACTGCCCTTGATTACAATGAAAATGTCAGCTGCGGTTTTCAGACTGAACTAATTCAGAATAACAGTGCTCTTGCCATATGGAAGGAATAACAATATTCTTTCAGTTTTAGGAGAGATCTCTTTTTAGCCCCTGGTGGAAATCAGCTTATGTAAAAATGCTTTCTTTAACAGAAAGTGTGAAAGGACACATCATCTTCCTATCTCAGGCAGCTGCCAGCCAAATTCATGGCTCAGCTATCAAGGTTTGCTCCATCTTCCTCTAATAATGGGCACTTTAGAAGCCCAGTTCCGGCTCTGGCAGGTGCTGGTCCACCATCTCAGCTATTGTGATAACAGATGAGCTCTATACAGACATGTTTTTAGCACCAAGCACTACCAAGTACTTCAGAGCAAGACCCGTTTCTTTCTCTGCCATCCAATGAAAATAGAGAATCTCCAATGAAACTGACTAGATTCATGAATGTTTTTTATATGTAGAGAGGAGCAGAAACACATTCATTTTCCCATTAAGGAACAAGTCTCCAGGGTTTATCATCTTCCTGAAGGCACTGCTAACAAATTTGTCAAATCCTTTATCCAGCACAGCTTTCCCAAGCAGCCACACAGTCACGCCTTTGCTCTTCTCATTCTCATAGGTCCAGTTTAAGATCTCATTCAGGCCTGAACTTCTTTGGTCCTTTGCATTCCTGCTGCCAAAACAAGCTGTCTTGGCCTCCACCTAGACCAAGTCGGCAATCTCCCTACATAATCCTACATTCAGCTGCAACCTATGCTCCAAGGCCTTTCACCAGGGGCCAGAAATGCTCCCACAACCCGAAATGGTCTCACTACAACAGTTTCTAATCTTATTTCAACAGTTTCTAATCTGAGACAGTTCACCAATAGGGATAATGTTTCTCCAACTGGAGACCTTCAATAAAACACTTTAATAGGTGCCTTAATTTCTGTCACATTGTCATTATTTTTTAATAAATTTACCAAAAACCATATATATATATATAATATGTACATATTATATAATATATTGGAGACAGGGTCTTGCTATTCACTCAGGCTGGGGTGAAGTGGTGCAATCATAGCTCACTGAAACTTCAAACTCTTGGGGCTCAAGTGATTCTCCTACCTCAGCCTCTGGCTACAGGACAGGAGTGCACAGCCTCACTTGAATTTGTTTTTGGTTTTCTTTTTTTGGTAGATACAGGGTCTCCGTAGGTTGACCATGCTATTCTTGAATTCCTGGCCTCAAGCTATGCTCCTGCCTCTACCTCCCAAAATGCTGGGATTACAGGCATGAGCCACTGTGACCAGCTCAAAATGTAATAGAATGAACTCAAAGCTGTAAATATTATCTTTCCATCCCTCTTGATAATCATTTGGCAATTTGGTGTTGGGAAACTGCAGGTCCATGACTGCTCGACATCCTAAACCTAGGTGATAAAACAGAAATTTTATGTTTTCTGAAATATTATTTGCAAACCTTTTTAAAAAATAATCTGGCCAGGTAACAGCCTCCAGAATTTTCCAGACATAATTTAGCAACTGGAAAATTCAGAAGAGGTAAATATTCCTAGATAATAAGAACAGCTTTTTGTTGAAATCTCAAGTTCTTTGGCAAGACTGAGTATCAGAAATCAGAGTTCACAACTCTGATAACCATCAAAATTCAGAACTCTGATAACTCTCAGAATTCACGACATTAAGCACGTTTTGAAAATAAATTTTCTGATTTCCATTTACGAAAAAGTTATTATAATTTTCAAAGTGTGCTCACAAGATTCTTGCTTTCTGACTTTATAATTGGTGTGCCAGTCAGAAGAGGCCTCGAATTTATCACAATGTAGGCAATGACACACAGTCTAACATGTGAGTGACAAGCAGAAGACAGCAGAAAACATGTACTCAAAAATACCATCCAATGTATAATTACCATCAAACAGATTGGGGATTTAAAAATATTCTTTCCACTTTTCAAATTTTTCAAATCCGAGTTCCAAAATCTTATTGATCTACTTTCTTTCCTATTTATTCTATCATTTAGCCCAGTTTACCAGATGAGATTATAACAGCCAGAGAAACATTTTATAATACAATTTTTTTTTCAAAGACAGCCGTGTGCCTGTAGTCACAGGTGGGAATAATTACCACCACTGTTTCAAGTGGCTCTGTGGGTATTAATTCCCACAGATTCTCTCAATGGCCCCCGAGCCCTAAACCCTATTCTTGCTGTCCCAGCTGAATAAAACTGAGCCCTAATCCCCGCACACTAAATTTCTTAGTCCACAGGACCTGTGACGACAAACTTTCTTCCTGTCACTGCAAATATGGTCTTCAAGACACCCAGGGAAGCTCAACCGATGATTTCAATGTGAGTGTTATACAAACTTTCTGATGAGACATACATTTGCAAAATCACATTTGGTTCCACAGTATTTCTGAGGCTTAGCTTGCTGAGACTGGATTCTCCAGGGAGTTGTTGTTTTGTAATAATTATAGAGAAAGTGAGAAAGGCCTTTCACAAGGCGAGAGATAATTTAGTGGAAACAGATCTCAAAGACGACAGTTATGCAAATTGTATTTAATGTACTTACTTTAAATGAGTAGAGAAAAAAATTCTATGTAACATTTCACAAGAAATGTACCCTGTTGGTTATTTGCTCGATAACAGCACCATAACCAGGTGTGCCCCAACGAAACTTTTACAAGAAAGAATCCCAATCAGACTGGGATGCAGCCCCTCAGGGGCCTAGTTTGCCTGAAACACAGAGGGCCAGTGGACACAAAGTAAAGAAGGACATGAAGCAGAGGAGCAAGATTCAGATGGTACAGCTAAAATATTTCCTGAAAACAAAATGAAAAATGCACAAAGAAAACAAGCGAAAATATCCCTTGGAGAATTTGTAAAAGCTGGAATGGATTATGTAACCAGGCAGAAGGAATCTGGCACGTTAAACATTACATTTACAAACTTTCAACGTCGCTTTCACCGTTTCAAATAGTGATGTTGGCAGCATCATCAAATTACAGAAGAGCTGAAAACAGATTTTGAAATGCTCCTTTTCACAAAATACTAAGACTTCTGATGAAAAAATCACTCGAGTTTGTTTTTAAAAAACCTTTAGAAAAAGAGAAGTGACAAGTTTAGAGAATAAACAAACTTTATTTTGTAACAGTATTACAGGAAGCAAAATATCATTTAATACAACTTGAAGCTGCTATAAATCTAATCTGGCATCATAACTATACATAGGGTCAAAGGCAAAGGAAAAAATGTTCAATATAGTTAATAAGTCCCTATCAGGTCTCTGGTACCAGCTTTAAATGGTATAACTTTCTTGTAACCAACAGAACACCACCACAGCCCCTCCCCTTCTCCCCAGCGTCCTCAAACCTGTGCGAATCATCAAACTAGCTGAAAGAGATAGGCCTGCTCAATAACAAAAGGTCAGTTTTACACATGTAGACAAGGAGGTTTAATACAAAGCGAGAGTTCTACCCAAGTGTTCAAACAATGGAAAGAATTGAAATTTGGGTTTGTTAAGAAAGAAAGCACTAAGGTTTTAAGCTGCCTGAATCTTTTAGTAGAAGGGAAGAAAGAGTTTTCTCTTTCTCTTCCCTCCTGTTCTGGAATGCTGCCGAAGGGCATGTGTCTGACAAGCATTGGCACTGTGGTGCGGCAGGGTCTCTAAGCACAGTGCACAGTCAGTGAACTTCTTCATAATTCTCCAGTCCAGAGATTCTGACTCTCTACTAAAAGTAGAAAGTCACAGGACTGGAAAGTCAAAAGGGTCCAATATAAAAAACATCCCTGTGAAATTCTCAAGTATTAGAAAATTTTCAGGATGTAAGAAATGCTTTTTATCTGTATTAATATTTTCTCATACAGTATATTTACTGCAATTTGAAACTCCGTAAATATATACTGTGAGAATTCAAGGAAAAGAATCCAGAAGAAGGAAAGCCACTATCTAAATTAGTCACAGAGTTTCCTTTCTGCACAACAGCACCTGTTCAGGTGAACAGCACCTTACCAGCTTGGGCTGGCTTTGTTCACTGTCATTTGATCAAAGTGAGTCATTAAAAGCAGGTAGTTGCACACAAAGTAAACAGAAAACAAAACCAAAACCCCTTAATTAACAACAACAAAAAAGAAAGAACCAAGAATATTTAGAAGTGGTTATAAAACAAAATAATATATTAAATGCATGGGAGCAATATAGACCAGAGCTGGTAAGGAAAGGTTTGGTGTCGGCATTTTAATTCTTCAGGCTTCTGGTCATTGTTACCAGTTGTAGCATAAATTCGCTGGAATAGTGGTGTGGTATTAAGACTCGGAACGGTCAAAAAATCTTCAGGGGTTCACAAAGTTGAGTGTTGTTTAAAAAATAGTTTTCTAGGAGAGAAAAAAAATAGAAGGCTTAAATATTCCAAAAACACAGGCTTGAAAAAAAGTTAGGCAATATTCATCAAATTTTCAGTCAAGTAATCAACAGTTACTGTCTGCCTAGTCTTACAGTAAATAGTATGTTTACCAGAAGACAAGCATGAGACACTATTCCACTCTCAAGGGCCTTGTAATACCTGGAGAATTGACAAGTATGCTGAAAGCAACTGGCAATTAATAGTTCACTGCAAAAGAATTTATTAGCATAAAACAGAGACAATTCACATAGTAAGAATTTAAAGAGAGAAACCAGGGTAGATTTTAAAGTTATACTCAGGGAGGGGGAAAGTCAAAGCCCATTTTCTTTGTGCTAAAATGAATGGAAATGGTGCTTCAGGTGGAAAAACACAATGAGGAAAGAGGCATGGAGGTGAAGAAGTACCTGGTTATTATGACAGTAAGGATGCAGAAGTGAATGGGAGGAATAGGACAGTGAAGAAATGGACATTACTAAAGTTAAGCATTGGTATAGTGAGTAGTAAATAAAGGTACAAAATATTAGGTCTATTCTTTCTTTAATAACCTGAGAAGTACCAGCTTGATCTAATAGACCAAAAAAAAAAAAAAAAATGAATTAAGAAAAAACATTCGGACGAAAAGACCAGTTGGCAATCTACTGCAATGGTCCAGGGCAGAGTGCAAGAGCCACGGAGAGATAAAAGACAGGTCAAAGAACCTGGGGTTGGCCACTCATGCAGGACATGATAAGCCCAGGAAAGGAGGTTGGGATTGCCTGTTCTTTGGTTGTGAGGAAGGGTTTGTCATGGTGTAATTTACCTTTTGAAAACACTGCTGTGGCTTCCGTGTGATGAATAGGCTGAAGCCAGCAAGGAGTTGAGGCAGGAACAACGGTCAGGAGACCACTGCAGGAGTCCAGCTGGATGAGGAAGCTGAAAAATGTCAGGCATTCCTGCCAGACGGCCAGGACCCAAACTTGAGTGGTCACCACAGAAATCAGGTGGGAGAGAAATTTGAGAGGCACCACTAAGAAGAATAATCAGAGTGTGGTGGTGAAGAAGGAAGTATAAGAAAGGATAAGGTTTGCAGTCTGGGACCTCAAAAAAAGGAGAGAATGAAGGCTTACAGCCTGGGTGAAGCATTAGGCCTAGGGATCTAGATTTGGGCATCAGAACGAGCGATAAGTGAAACCAACAGACAGAACTAAGTCTCATGTGAGCACAGGAGTAAGTGAAAGCCACAGAGTCTTACAGAAGCCCACAATCAAAGGTAAGTGGAGAAGACTAAAACAACCCATGATGGTGCAATGGCCCTGAAAGAGCAAAGGGTTTTAAGGCGGCAGTTGTTTCATTGTATATTTCAACTTGGTTGAAACTTTTGGCAAATGATAGGTAATCACAAAGGACAGTGGAGAGTGGTAATTAATGTCTTTTCCAAGAGACACTGGTCCCAAAGTCAATTAGAATGTACACTCTTTTGGTTAGGTAAAAGTAAGTCTTGCTTTAATGAAAAAAGTCCCTACCATTTAGATTTATCACAGATAATACTACAGCCTCTTGATTATTCAGGACAGATTGATTAATCAACTTCATTGTTTTCTACCCTGTTGTCTGCCTTAGGCTATTTCATTACTCACTAGTACTTCTGCTTGATTCTAGGCCGGAGGGGGAAAAAAAATCAATGGAGAAAACACAAAGTCTTTTTTTAGGTTAGTAATTATGAAAAGAAATGTGGGGGATGATAAAGGGAAATGGATTCAACTACCAATCAAATTGGATTTGGCAGTTATATGACACCTTTAGTCATGGTACCTGTTCTTGTTCCTTCAGAGCTGGTATTTCCATTTGCTTTGTTTAGTAAATATGCATCATTTGTTGAACACAGCTGCCATTTTGCCTAGTTTATGTTATTAAAAGAACAAATCCCTGATGCTAGCAGGGCCTGAAAACCTACAGAGAACAATGTTTAGGATTCTCGTCTCCATTTTCTCTAGGCCCTATGTCACTTTATTTCTTTGCATCTTTTCATCAAAAATAAAAATTTCACTTTGTAATGAGTCATAAATTTGTAAAGAAAAGCTAAAATTAAACTTGTTTCAAAGTTATTATAGGAAACTAAGCATATGTCGGAATTGAAGGGAATAGATCTTGATCTCAAAAAACTTCAACATTTACTGAGCTAAATAGAGAGAAAAAGACATAGTTACCCAAATAAACTCAAAATGTAATCTATTTCCATTAATAAACTTTTTTTCTGGTAATGAATATTATAAATGATAACCTTGATGTGCTCTTAGGATTCTAAACAGCTTTCAGAATCATTTTATTGCCAACTTATTTACTTTCTCATTCTTTAAAAATCAGCAAATCAAGTTTAACTCTGAGTTAATTAGATATTGTGTCAAAACATCCCAGTTTCTTATTGCTGTGGATGAACAGGGAGTAACTTATTGTATGAAGACTTTATTTACATATCCACGTATCTTTTTTGACTGTTTCTTGCACTTAAACACATGTAGAAATATGTTCCTAAGTACTAAACCGTTCATTAGCTTTTGAGCTGGGAAAGAGAAGAGATAAAGATAGAATCACCAATTTCACTGCTACATAAGCATCAGAAATATTGTACATCAGAAATATTGTACTTTTTCGGTCCTCTGTGAGATGTCTGTGAGAAGTAAACTTAGTATCTGACAATTTTTTTACAGGCTAGAATTTGGGACTAAATGATTTATTACATATTCCAACCAAACTGAAAACTAGGCACTGGCTCTTCATGTAAAAGCTGTAAAAGTTTCAAGAATATTCTTTTCTTTTTCTAAGCTTGAATTCTACTCATATTCATAGAAGTCTGGGCATCTTTGCCAATACAAACTGGCAGGCATTAATTATAGACATTAATTCAACATGCTTTCATTTTTACAATATCACAAGGTTCATCCTGAGTTTGGGTAAGATAATAGCTGTTAAGCATATGGATTATACTTTATGTATTAGAATTGTGGTCAAGTCAACAAAAATAAAAGCATTCATACTACTGTTCTGTTTCCAAGTGTCACTGTTCCACCCCGGCCTATACAATGTCAGTAAACATTTCTAACTACTATAGTCACATTCCCTGGTCTATGTCCCCCTCTTTTGGCCAGTGTGAGAATAGATCAATGTGGCTCAATTTCATCTAATCACAGGTGTAATCCTATGTCTTAAGCACTCACAGAGGGCTCGGAGAGTTATTTATCCCTCTCAGTGCACCCAATAAGCAGTGGTGAAAAAAGGTCATACACAGAAGTTCTATGATCTTACCTGAAAAGCACAATCTTTGAGTTTCTAGAGACAAAGGCCTCATGTATTGATCTCAATCTTGAGTGCTCTACTCCAGAAATTGACTCAGTAAATTAATTTTAAGAAGCATTTGACAGAAAACACTAGCAATGCTGCCTTTAAATGATACAGCACTCATCTAGAGAGAAGTCTCAATAAAAATGCAAAAATGTGGTTTTCCCCCAAATAATACAACAATGCAAATAACACAAGAAAACAACATTTCTTCAGATTAATGAACATTCAATTACCACAGAGCAATAATATAAACAAAGATTCTGAAAACAGGAATGAAATATTTACTTAAGGCTGGGCACAGTGGCTGAAGCCTGTAATCCCAGCACTTTGTGAGGCCGAGGCAGGGAGATCAGGAGGTCAGGAGATCGAGACCATCCTGGCCAACACGGTGAAACCCCGTCTCTATTAAAATTACAAAAAAAATTAGCTGGGCATGGTGGCACGCGCCTGTAATCCCAGCTACTCGGGAGGCTGAGGCAGGAGAATCACTTGAACCTGGGAGTCGGAGGTCACAGCAAGCTGAGATCGTGCCACTGCACTCCAGCCTGGCCACAGAGCAAGACTCTGTCTTAAGACACTGCATTTCCTAAGCAAAATTGAACTCTGTGCACTCAGGTGTAAAATCAAATTTTAAATGATACTTTATGGATTTGAGTTATTTCAAATGCTGAACTTTTCATTTTATTCTTCTTTGGTCCTCAATTTGCATATTTGATTTTAATTTCTAAACAGAATTTCCATTGTTTAAATTATAAAAATTGGCTGGGCACAGTGGTTCATGCCTGTAATCCCAGCACTCTGGGAGGTTGAGGAGGGCAGATCACCTAAAGTGGGGAGTTTGGGAGCAGCCTGTTCAACATGGCGAAACCCAATCTCTACTAAAGACAAAAATCAGCCGGACATGGTTGCACATGCCTGTAATTCCAGCTACTCAGGAGGCTGAGGCAGGAGAATCGCTTGAACCCAGGAGACAGAGGTCGCAGTGAGCTGAGATCACGCCACTGCACTCCAGTCTGGCTGCCAGAGCGAGACTGTCTCAAAAATTAAATAAATAAACACAATAAAAATCCCAGAGCCAAAAATGCAAGCATGCTAAATTTCCATTTGGTTAAACCCAGAAAAAAGTCAGTTCTTAAAATGTCTGTATTATCACTAAAATATACATGAAGTGTAGCCTGCGGCCCCTGAGGATGGCTCAGTCTCTTTACGGGGATCACAGAGTCAAAACTGTTTTCATTATCATACTAAGACATTATGTCCTTTCCAGTGTGTTGGCATTTTCACCAATGGTGTAGACAAACAACGGTGAGTAAACCTATTGGCAGCTGAGCCTACATAAGTCAAAGCAGAGGAATCAAACTATATTTGAGGTAACCTTATTCTTTTTTTTTTTTTTAGAGGCAGGGTCTTGCTCTGTCACCCAGGCTGGGGTGCAGTGGTGCAATCATAGCTTACTGCAGCCTTGAACTCCTGGACTCAAGGGATCCTCCTGCCTCAGCCTCCCAAGTAGCTAGGACTACAGGCACATACCATCACACCCAGCTAATTTTAAAAATTTTTTTGTGGACACAGGCTCTTGCTATACTGCCTAGTCTGGTTTCGAGCTCCTGATCTCAAGCAATCCTCTCACCTCAACCTCCCAACATGTTCGGA